CCTCTATAGAGAGGTGGTACTGATCATGGCCAGGTGTTCCTCTATAGAGAGGTGGTATCGATCATGGCCAGGTGTTCCTCTATAGAGAGGTGGTATCGATCATGGCCAGGTGTTCCTCTATAGAGAGGTGGTATTGATCATGACCAGATGTTGCCATTGCCCTGGCAAAGTAAACACATGACAATCAACTACCAGCATGCACTGCAACAGAGTGACATCTAGTGCTGAATCTGAAAGCACTCACTCGAGGATAATCAACAGGCACATTACTGAAGATCTGTTCTTAAGGCATCATCTGAACAAGATGTTTTTTCAACTTAAGGGACACAAACTGTATCTGAATATATTGTGGAATTGGTGGAATTTTGAATTACATCTTGTAATAAGTTCAAAAGTCAGATGTCTAAGGATATTTTAGTATTTAAATATCTAAAATATTACTATTTGTAGTGGAAAAATTAATTAATAATAAAAGACACAGAACATAAGACCACACGTGGCCCCAGCGCTGCGAGGCACCAATGCTGATCACTGCATCACCATGCCTCCCCAGTGTTGTCAAAGAAAGTTATGACTGAGAGGAGCCACTCAGCACATTTCCCCTGTTTTGGTAGTTAGTAGATAATTAATCTGAGGATCTCGCCCAGCCAGAACTTCAGCTGGCCTCACACTCTCACAACCCTGGGGTACAGTGTTGTTCTGGGTTATACAGGCATTTCCACACAGTGTCCACTTGTGCTCTCTCATCCTGTCGTTATTATATCTGTCACATATGAGCTGTAGTGAATTTACTTGGCCAGATTACATATAAACTTACTTCTTGCTCTTCAGTAAAAAGTTGAAACATGTTCTCCATATCTATGAAAGAGTTTTGGATCATCCTGTTGACAGAATCAAATTATTAATTTGATTAATTTGAAAAAGTATTCATTCAGTTTTAACACATTCTGCACACATACATTCAGCTATTAATAAGTGTATTAGAATTAGAATTTTGGAAGATTTGTAGGTGTTAGAAAGAAAAGTTCAAATATTTTAAAAACAGATAAACCCTCCCAAAAGCCCCAATGCATTGTTAGTGGCTGTTGAGTTGTTTGAGAATTTAGAGACAATGATCAACATCTTGTCAACAGCTGCAGTTCTCAGGAGCTTCAAAGCAAGAAAGGAACCGAGGTGTTTACTGAGTTGTACTGGATCTGAGACATCAATGAAAGGAATATTCTGGTTTACTTTGGTTAATTAAGTTCTTGGTGAATGATCAATAGTCATTAACAGTGTCCTTGTCATTATACTGGGGCATTAGGACCCATACAGACCTGCAGGGTGGGCGCCCCCTGCTGGCCCCACTAACACCCCTCCCAGCAGCAACCTCAGCATTCCCAGGAGTCTCCCATCCAAGTCCTGACCAGACTCACACTGCTGAGCTTCAGTGGGCTGCCAGCTGTGAGTTGCAGGTTGATAGAGCTGCTGGCTGCATGTCCTCTGACCCCTGCTTTGTCTCCCAACTGTGTGCCCGGATCACCCCTGGGCTTCGTTACCCGTTTGTGTTGGACTTGGACCCAGGCTTTGAATTCAGACTGAAACCTATTTCCCTGATCCTCTGACCTTTCTGTTGCTATGTCTCCCTCGCTTACAACCCCTGGTTTGTTAGGGTTTTGACCCTGGACTGTGTTTTGGGTGTAAAATGCTCTGGACTCTGGCTAGCCAAAGCTCCACTTCTGCCTGTGTGTCTGCAAGCAGCCTGCTCCCTGTTCCCAGAGTGTGTGATCCCAGCTCCCTCCGGACTCGGTATCGCGCAGCTCCGGGCATTCGCTATGTGCTGCTTGCAGGATCCCCAGTTCAGCCGCCTGTTCATCCCGGGATTGGGTTCTCTCACACTCTGTAATGACGCACTTTGAGTCCCAACTCATTACAGCCTGTTAGAGCAGCTCATTCCACTTGTATGCTGTAGTTTTATTATATGGTTATTGATTATCCTGCTCACTCTATTTCTGGTACATTCCGTAATTCACATTTTTTCCCCTCTTTCTGTGTAACAATATTTATGTAAATCAATTAACCAGTTTATCCAGAAAATGATATCAAAAGCCTGTGATACTGAATCCTCACCTGTAATAAGTACCGAACCAGTTGAGAGGTGTATAGAGCTGAATGATGTAGGTGCCAAAGAGAACATAATCACCAACCTGGAACATGTTGCAAGAAAGTAGAAATTAATCAAACTAAACATATACATTAATATCAAAACACAAGCCCACCTCAGATCCATACCCACACTGACAGCACAAAGCCAGGCTGGCCAAATCAATCTGTAAAATTTAAATCCTACTGACCATGGGTCAAGGACAACCGAATCATATTATTCCAAGAATAGGCAATAGCTCCAAGTGGCTGCAACAAAACATGTCAAATATTTGTACAGTTTGGCAAGCTGAAGGGGTCACAGACGTCGTGCAGTTATTACTTCAAAGGCATATGAAACCAAATACGGACTTTTTCACACTGAAAAGTGAATGTGTCCCAATGGTCAAATCCTCTTCAAATCACTCAGTTGAATTCAAAACACGTTTATGTTCTGAAATGATTAAATGTATGCATGGAATTCCACATAATATAAACATACTATATATTGTATATATACTTATTCATGTTTAACTCATGATCTAAAAAAACAAATGGCTTTACTGTAAAGAAAAAAATAGTTTGACGTTTTGCTGTCCTAATACTTTTTGAGGGCATTGTATATAGACATATTAGATCATTATTTGATTTTGGCATTACAGCTTTAAACAGACAATATGAGCTCTTTATCTAGAAAAGCTCTTTCTTTGTGGTCTATACAGCATAAACCCTATTCCTGTAAAAAAGTGCCATGGGATCTTTGATGACTAAATAGTCAGGACCTTTATGTTACTTGTCACTCACAGGATGACATTGTCCTGACAGTATCTGATCCAGAGGAATGAAAACAAATTCCTGGTTGATAAAATCCACTTTGGTAGTGCAACAGTGATACATTGCAATGCTGAACAAGACCCTCCCTGGACATAACAAGATAAGTGCACACTGTGTTTGAAAAATCAGAGTACTACACAGCATGTTTTATTCTTAAGACCTTTGAAATGTAATACATTCCCCCTCTGCCACAGAAAATGAGTTAAAACACAACCATGTTGACTTTCGACAGCTACTTACACCCATAAAAACCCCAACCAGCAAAGCCTGATAGTCTAGGTAAAACTAAATATTACCTAAGTAAAGAATTTATCAACACGCAAGGATGATTATGAAAAGAGGGACAGACTTTGTGTAGCAGACCAGAGACAGCCCCTCAGGTGCAATGATTGTTACCTGAAACTTGTTCTCTGTGACAAAGTAGGCACAGAGGAGGGATCCAGCGAGGAGCCCTGAGCCGATGATCAGGTTCTGAGTCTGGTTTAACAGGGCCAGGGAGGCATTGACTTTCCATTCGGACTCCTGCATGAGAGACACACACATGGAGTGGTGTGTATTTGTTTCACATACTGCTAATAAAATGAATGGAGCAGTGTTTGAGACAGTGGATGGCATGCTGACATGCCCTGTGTGGAGTCTACTGTAATTGTCAGGAAGATCTGAAAACAGAGATATTGAGGGTTTTTTTAAATTGTCGGTTGTAAAAATACTGACGACAATGGGACAATTACATTGCTGGAGTGGGGATCTGTGGGGACAAGTGATCTGCACAGGCTCATTCTGGCCTGAGGAGAAGAGTAAAACACAATTTAAATGTTTCTCTTTCTACTTTTCCACAGTGGAATTTCTCTCTACATCAGTTATATATCTCAACACTGTTATAATAATATAATGAAATTCCACTCAGTACTGTCTTAACATTCCAGTATTATGGCACAGTTATTCTAATCTTGATTCTTAATAAATGTTTCAAGACTTGTTTTTCTTTGAATTTCTAGTAGTAGGAATGTATTGTAGGTCAGAATTAGTTTAATCAAGCAAACAAAGGAAATGCCAGCAGAGAAAAAGTAACCAAAGCTCATCCTGCCTCAAAACTCCAATGGGCACAAATCTGTGTTTACATAATCCAAAAGCAGTACGTCTGACAACACATCTTTAAGAAGACAGCCATCATTTATTTACTGAAGGGCTGCCCTTTGTGTGTTTTTAAGGGAAATACAGTACACTGTCTGTGTATCCCACAGGACAGCTTGGTGTCTTGAATGAGTCCATCATCATCATCCACAACAAAACGCCAGTCGGCCTGTTTTTCTACAAATCACCCCAGACTGACATCAGGGTGTCCGACTGTCTTTCAGTCTTTCAGTTCAGATATAAACTTTGTGCAAAACCCTGCAATTAGCCAATATTGTCAAACATGTAGAATATAAAGTCTTCAGTGAGTAAGTCTCATTGGAGACAATGTCTCATGACATTGCTTTTCTGAAAAAAAACAGTATGACCTGCTACTTAAAATGGAATCTACCACATAACAGCAAAATTAAAATCAATTTTAAATAATAGAAAATTACTGTTGACCTTGATGATCAGATGCAACCTACTAATACAACAGCAAAATTATTGAGTAAGGAACTGGAAATTACAATACAAGCAAAAATACAACAATGAAGAAAAAATATTATCTATATAGATAGTGGTGGCTGTCTTTTGTTTAAAATAATTCTAGTATCAGTGTTCTTCAAGTTTACAGTATGTCTCTTAGCATGTCTGTTCTGAAAGAAAAACAATTTAAATGGAATACTTTTCTTACCTGATATTTCAGAATGGCATGATTGAATCGGTTCACTTCATATTCCTCTGCATTGTAGTATTTCACCTACAACACAAAGACAACACCAATGGTAGACAGAACACTGTGTCAATTGCTTTTGTTCAGAAAAGTTTTCATCACCTGCTCAAGATCATGAAGGTTTTTTAAAACATACTTACAAGATTAAAAAAAAACAACAAAGACCAGCATTTTGACAACATTCAGGGTCTGTAAATTTCATGGGTTATACACCATCTGAAAAAATGGCAACATGTGTACAGCCGTACAAAACTATTCAGACCTTTACTCAGTTTTCACATTTTGGTGCTTTAATGTTTGCTGTCACGACACTTTGAAGTAGAAAATAATTATATACTTAACCTACTCCACACATTCAAAACAAAAAACTAAAAGAAAGGACTAAATAGAAATAGAGGAAGAAGCATATAATATAAAAGTATTTATCATGAATGTATACATTTTCAAGCTCACAAAACTACCTAAAAACAATTAGCTGAGTGGCCACTGCCTGTGTGACAGTGGTTCTCATGATTTCAGAATAAAAACTCCTGTCTTTGTAATGTTCCTTCTTCAGGTAGGGAATTTCAAGCAAAGACTTAGCCGTGAAGACGAAGGCACTTTCAAAGAAACTCAAAGAAATTCAAAAGCACTGGAGAAGGATACAAAAAATATTGGAGTCTGCTCTGGCGTGGCTTAAGGATAAGTGTGTACGTGTGTAGTTGGGATAGTATACTGTACGTATCTGCTGTCCATACAATCCCCAAGCAACTTTGTTTAAACAATGTTTAAACATCACCAATCCAGTTGGTTTATGTAATCATTACATTTCTAAGGACCTTACATGGACACTGAACACCTCCAGTCTCATCAAGAAGGCACAACAGTGGCTGTACTTCCTGAGAAGGCTGTAGAAAATACACCTACATCCACAGATCCTCACCAACTTCTACAGATGTACGGTGGAGAGCATACTGACCAGCTGCATCACAGTCTGGTACGGCAACTGCACCGCATCCGACTGTAAGGCACTACAGTGGGTGGTCAAAACTGCCCAACAGATCATCGGCAGAGCCTTACCATCCATCCAGGAAATATACAACACCAGGAGTCTGAAGAAAGCCACCAAAATTATGTCTGACCCCACTCACCCCAGTCATAACTTGTTTATTCCCCTACCATCTGGCAGAAGGTTCCGGTCACTCCTGTCGCACACAACTAGACTCCAAAATAGCTTCTTCCCCAGAGCTGTCAAGTTGGTGACGCCCCCACTCCCTCCCACCATATTATGAGCTCTCCTAACATCCTCCTGTACCCACAACGACTGTACTCCTACACCACTACACACACATGTAAGCCAATATTGTACTGTCCCCTTGATAGCCCAGTAAAACTGTACCGGTCGTAATAATATTTTATATTTATTAATTAACCATACTATTTTTAACCATACTATTTGCACGGTTCCAAGAATTACCTTGCACTGTTTTTGTCCTGTTATATTTTCTCTGTTTGCGGAATTTTGCACAGTTTTGATTACTTGATTACATGTTATTTATGTTATGTTATTACATGTTACTGTTTTTGCTATTGTGTTACTGTCTATTGTCTTATCTTCTGTCCTATTTATATACTGCACCTGAGTGACTAATGAGAAACACTTTTCATTATACTATGCACCTGTGTAAGTTTAATGACAATAAAGTTGAATTGAATTGAACTGAATTAATTTCCTCTTTAGCTTTTGCTGACATTTACTGTGACTTTCCTTACTTCTGGTAGTATTCAGTTTGACTTTCAGGTTTTAAATACAATGTTTAGATACAATTTGTACGCATTATTTTGTAATTTCACAAAATAGAACACAATGGGATCTGTGAATAGTTTTGCGTTGTATGTACGGTACGTAGCAACGCAGACGGTAATTCCAACCGAAGCCAAAAGAGGGCGACCACGTCTTCTCAACTCCAGCCTTTCAGTCACAAGTTAATATTTCTCACTTGCATATTGGAGGCAGAGAGACTCCTGCTTGTATTCTAACACTGCGCAGCTGGTCTTCATTTCTTAGAAGTGAATATGAGTTAGAGACTCCAAAAGAGAGATAGTGTAGCTTCAAAACTTATTAGCAAATAGAAAAATAGATTTTTCCTTTTTCTTTTTGATCAGATGTCTGACCTAATAGAACAGGAAAACAATATTTTTTCCCCTTTATTCTATAATAGCATCCTGGAAGGATTTTTTCACACCTAGGAAACTCCCGATTGAGGAGCTGTGTGACTGCAGAGGATCAGGTAAAGGCTCATTCCTCATTCAACCTAAAGCATGTGCAGGCGAGGGGAGGGGAAGGGGAGGAGAGCAGGGCAGGAAGGCAGAAACCAGTACCGTTTCGAAATTGAGCAGCGAGTCAACAGCCTTGGACTTGGCGTTGTTGTCCTGCGTGTTCATGTCTCGCCTGTACTTGGTTCTCCACTCTGTTATGACGATGGTCAGAGCTGTAGGAAAAGACAGGGAAAAACAGCTGTACTGCAAACCCTGCTTTCAAGGCTACTCTCGTGTTAACTCTGTAATCAACACCCCTCTTCTCTCCATTGTCATACCTTGCGTTAAACCATAACAGACTTTCTACTCCTCGCTTTCCAAGCTAAAATTCTTCCCATCTACCATCAGAATGCCATGATTCAAAACGGGCTATAACAAGCGTATTAACCCTGCCAGCTGATACACTGGCTTCTTTCAAGAAACAACTGAATAAGGTCTTCAGGTAAATCACCTACTAATAACGCAAGATACTGTAAGCTGGGCTGGTTGCTCTTGCTTTTACCTTTCTTATTTTTTATAGCCCCTGACATGCCTGGAAAAGCCTAATCATGCCAGTCACTGAGCTACAGGAGGTAACTGAAGGAGTGCAGCCTTGCTTGAGCCTGGCATGAGGGTAGTACTCACTGAGATACAGGAACATGCAGACGAAGACGATTAGACCAAACCAGGCATTGAAGGAGGAACTGAAGTAGATGATGGCGATGACAATATCAGCAATCGTGGGGAAAATGCTGAAGACAATGTAGCTGCACAAAGGAAGTAGAAACAGTCAGTTTTGCCTTTTATGACCAAGACGTCTAAGAAGGCTCAGAAAGAGAAAAAAAAAGAGGTAGAGCAGACAGGTGAGGAGAGAGCAGGGGACAGAGGTAGAGCAGACAGGTGAGGAGGGAGCAGGGGACAGAGGTAGAGCAGACAGGTGAGGAGGGAGCAGGGGACAGAGGTAGAGCAGAAGGTAAGATGGGAGGGAGCAGAGGACAGAGGTAGAAGAGAAGGTAAGAAGGGAGGGAGCAGGGGACAGAGGTAGAGCAGACAGGTGAGGACGGAGCAGGGGACAGAGGTAGAGCAGACAGGTGAGGACGGAGGCAGTAAGAGGTGAATAATGGACCTCATTGAATGAAGTAAAAACAGATGTGTAGAGAGTAGAATGTGAAAGAGAAAACATGAGTAAATGGAGGAAAAGGAAAATCTGCATACCTGAGCAGGCTGTTGATGGAGGAGGTGCCGCGGTCGATGCTGCGGAGCACCTCGCCCGTGCGGCGGCCCAGGTGCCAGCGCAGGGACAGAGAATGCAGGTGAGCGAACAGCCGCACCTGCACCAGCCGGTTGGTGTACTGCTGCACCCGAATCCACAGGAAGGAGCGCATGTTGCTCACAAAGCCGGAGGCGCCTGAGTAGAGGAAAGCCAAGAGTTCACAGACAGCCAACACCCAAGCCTGGAGTAAACAGAATAAATCTGAAAACAAATGCGTGTTGTTTTAGCTATGCTGAAGGACAACCCAAGATATATATATATATATTACTGCATGAAATTTGTACTGAATATTAATTAGAAGCATTCTACTGGCGCTTAGAAATGTGCGTGATCTCAGCATGTCATGATGTGTGAAACGTGCAGAGAGCCTTTGTATGAAGTGTAAGCTGTGAGGAGAATGGTACACTGCTGGGAGAGCTCTGTACTACCTGCTCCTCCGCCCTGCAGGAACTTGAGCAGAACATAGATGCAGACAGTTGCAGCTAGAGTCTTCCAGCTGCTTCCATCGGTAAGCTCATTTACTGAGGGAAGACAAATACGGCAGAAATGACATGAAATATACAGAACAAAAGACACAGTTAGACATCAAAAAAAGACCTTTGGTCCATTTGTTCACCCAACTGTCACCAGCTCACTGATTCTGCGGCCTTCTCCATCGCTGCAACGGTACACAACGACTGGGTGTCAAAGCTTGGTTTGGTTCCTGAGCCAGAAACTTGTTTTTGGCTCCATAACTTGTATGCTTCACAACAGGATCTCACAAACTGAGAAACTGCCGTATAAAGGAAACGAATACACACATTCCAGGCCGGAACAAGGTGGGTGGCGAGTTCATCACAGTTATTCCAAGGGATGGGAAACGCCAACGTGTACACATCAGATGTAAGACCAAAATATATACAAATTAAAACAGCTAATTCTTAATACAGTTGTGAGAAAAAGTTTGTGTAGCCTTCGGAGTCCTAATAATATGCTCCTAATAATAAATACACACAATCCGATTAAACAAATTACATACAAACAACTGCACAGTACTTTTTTTTTGTCTATATTGAACGCATTGTTTAAACTCTCACTGTCTATTTTGACAGAGATGAAGATTAGGTCACATTTTAGGAGAAATTACTGCAGGAATATAGATAGATTCACAAACTTTTTCTCACCACTGTAAATAGAAACTTTATTGATCCCGTGAGGGAAAATTAACTCCATTATTTGATTTTGCTAAATGTCTGTTTTCTTATGGTCATGCGTCTGTGTTTCAGCCCATCAAAACTGCAGACCTTGACGGGAACAAAGGCTCCCTCCTCTCTCTACTCTCCAGGGCTGCCGTGTCGACTGACAGGCATTGAAAACAGCAATAGTCTCCAGCAACGATGGGTTATGACTCACATCATTCAAGTAAAAACTATCAAATAAATCTCTTTGTTTTTGGAAGAAGCAAGGCTGTAATCAGCACACCGCTACTGAATTAACGCTTTTTTTCACTCTGCAGACAGCAGAGGTCAGCACATCACTCACAAGACGTGAATAGCATGCTCTGAAAGTCTTTTACTTAGAACTACATTGAATAATAAATAGCACTTGCCATCTTCTTCTAGACAACAGAGCGTCTGCGCACCTCAGACAGTGTGTATATATACACCATGTGCCTTTTGTGAAAAAATAATCCACTGATGTGTTATAAATGAAACAAGGACACAAGTAAGCAAATGAACTTTAGGAGGAAGAACATTTCTGACAACAGGATGGATTACACAAAGGGTGTAGGTGAGAAAGAACAAACTGGACCAGTTTTCCAACGACTCCTTCAGCAAGAGAGAACAGACTTTTCACCTGTTCTAAATCCAAATCTCATCTCTCGCAGAAGTCTTGGGTAGAGATGCAAAGCATTCCTTAGTTGCATGTTTAGTTTTCGTCTCTTTTAGTTTTCCTGTGCTCAAGAGCCCCAAGTAAAAAATCGCTGCTTTTACACTGTACTTTAAAGTGTTGCCCATGTTTATAACTTCTGTGGCCACCCTGCTGGCAACTCGCACCTGCCACCCTCAGATTGGTTTGTCCTTCATGTGGCACGGTAACTGCAGTCATTGATTTATTTTTCAAAAAGCTGAAAAACTCACCAATGTTCCTGTAGTAAATCGGCACAAAGACGTTGATGGCTCTCTCGGCACCCAGCATCCCGATGCACAGCAGCACCAGCAGCTGCAGACGGACGCTGCCCTTTGGCCACATATACGGCACCAGCAGACGCACCTTCTTCCCGAAGTTCTGCCATGTCGACTGACTCTCGCGATTCTGTCCCAGCAGCGGCTGCACAACACAGGAAGGACATTTCAGTCCATCTCTCTTGGCGGCTGTCGGTCAAGCAATGCAAGCACTGCATTGAGCACTCCAAGATCCATCCACCCACCATCAGAAAGCACAGATTTCTGGGAAGGGGTCACACAGAGCCTTTCCTGGAAGTACAAGGCACAAGTCTGGACTACTCTCTGGCTGGGATGCCAGTCCATTGCAGGACATGCACAGGAACACAGGGACAAATTAAAGAGTCTTATTATTAACATAGCCTGTATTCATTTGCAAGGTGGGTGGAAACTGGAGAACATGGAGAAAACCCTTACAAACACAGGAGGAACTTGCAAACTCCATACAAATGACAAACCCATCCAAAACTGCACCATATGAAAGTACACGTCTAGAAAAGATACACTGAACATATTCAAAGCACATGCAATATCTTATCACAAAATGACAGCCTTACAATTTCAAACTCTCTGGAAATACCCATCAGGAAAGTCTCCTGGGTACAGAGTAGCAAAGACTACTCTGTAGTCTCCATGCCCAAGAGGAGTCTGCTGTCCCCAGGGGAAGTATCACTGTCCCGCCACACTGTTCTAGACTATAATGCTGTGAATGTAATGTACTAAATTAATAAATACTATCTTCTGTGTGTTTCTTTGTGGTTCAGTTTATTAAGACAGAAGTATTTAAATCATAATTTTGTGTCTTTTCCACTTCATGAATCCAGTTCAGCACAGGAGTCTGAAAGAGCCTATGCTGCAGTGCAATTATGTTCCTGAATTGTATCAACCTTAAAATGAATAATATCCAAATTATTGTGTAGTTCCACTTCCAAGAATAAGTCATGTTTTCTCAGACCTTAAGATAGCTCCGTTTGCTGAGTTTCATGCACTGTTTCAGCAGGTATCAGTGATGATCACTAAAATTAAACATGACATGTTTCTTTAATTTAATTTCCACTTCCTTGTGGTATTCAAACAACACACTGCATCGTTGTATTCAACTCCAACTTCAGGAGCTCTGTGAATATTATCTCACTCTGTGTAAACACAGGGTTGGACAACAGCTGGAGGGGCTCTGTGAATATTATTTCACTCTGTGTAAACACAGGGTTGAACACCAGCTGCAGGAGCTCTGTGAATATTACACACTGTGTAAACACAGGGTTGGACACCAGCTGCAAAAGTTATGGTAACATCTGTGCAAACTTGGAACACGGCATGCCCGAGCACAGATGTGTGGCTAGCCAATTACCTGCCCATGCTCCAGGTCACGTTCGTCTTCATTGATCAGTAGCATGTACGGTCTCTGTGGCAAGCCTGGGGCCTTCAGCCCTAATATGAACAGTGTTGCTGTTCCAATGTAGCGCACCAGCCACAGCCCAAACTCTACCTGCAGAAAAGGGAACAACTATCATTCAGATAACTCAGTAAATGTGAACATGAGAAGAGTTCCTGAATAGCAGATTTTATTCCCTTGTGAATATCCCATGCTTTCTTTTCAAGGCATCTTCACTATGAAACTGATTTTTTTTTAAACAATTGCTACATTAATACCATGCGTATATAGGCAATTTATACTAATATATACTGTACTAATATATAACAGTGTTTGGATTTAAGTGCTGTAATCACACATTTAACAAGTGTAAGAGTAATGAGTTAGGAATAGCAGACTGCAGGCAAACTCCTTAGACCAGCAAGTCTCTCACTGGGAGTCCAGAGCTCTTCATCTCACAGTTCCCTTAGTAAAGAATACCCAGCTGAGGTTCGAACATGACTGGCAGCTACTTCCAGACACTCTCCAGCCTGTGCTAAAGAAATTCTCCCCACTATCCAGACAAAATGCACAGCTTCCAAGTTTCCATCTGTATCTCCATAATAATAGTAAATCCAAAAACAATAATAGTAATTCATAATTTCCTATTATCGTCAACATTGTTATGTTGCAAATTAGTATGTTGTTTTACTATTGCTTTAATAAAGCAATGAAGCTACAACAGCAAATTACTCAAGACACAACAACTGTTTCCCAGAAATGGTAACAAACTTTAACTGGAGGCTCTGACAATAATACTGTAAGGACTTCTACCGGCACAGCTTCAGTTTAATGCTTAACAAGTACTGGACTTGAAGGTATGACTGCTGGCTGCAACAGTATTCTCAATAACACGCACAAGCTGGGCACCCTCCTGCAGTGACTGACCCTTGACTACAGAAATTCACTGTTTTTCATCCTTTCTTTCCATTTTTCATCTTGCATCTTGTACTCTGTAGAAAGGCACTATGTTTACTTTTACTACTTTTTGTAGCACTTTAGGTTTTGTTACTGTGTTCTTGGTCAGAAAAAATAAAAATTTGAATTTGGAAGTAACAGTGTAACTTGCACTGTTTATTCCACATGCACATGTGCCTTTAGTCTTTTAGTCTTTTAGTCTTTTAGTCTTTTAGTCTTTTAGTCTTTTAGTCTTTTAGTCTACGGCAGATTCAGCTGGGCGCTGCTACACTGATCCAGTCCCATTGACTGATTCTGAAAACACGTATTTAGAAGGCTTGGGTGTTTATGTTGACACACTGCCTATAACTTTAAAACCATTTTGGGAAGTTATAAAAAAGGCAAACAAAATGTTAGGTGATTCAATCAAAAATGTAGATTATTAATCACAGGATGTTATGTTAA